TCCCTCCTCTGAAATTTTTTGGAATACTTTGAGAGGAAGAAATGTTAGTTTTTGTTTGATTGTTTGGGAAAACTCACCCATGAAGCCATCCAGTCTAGGACTTTTGCTCTTTGGAAGTTTTTCGATTAGTGTCTCTGTTTCATTCATTGGAATCTGTCTGTTCAGAATCTCTTATTCTTCCTGATTTAGAAGATTGTATTATCTAGGAATTTATCCATTTTGCACAGATTGCCCAGTTTGTTTCATGTAGTTGTTCATAACATTTTCTTACAATCCTTTGTTTTTCTGTGGTGTCAGTTGTTACTTTTCCTCTTTCACTTCTGACTTTATTTAATCGGGCCTTCTCTCTCTCTCTTTATACCATTTTTTGGGGGTGAGTCTCATTAATGGTTGTTAATCTTGTTTATCTTTTCAAAGAACCACCTCTTAGTTTCATTGATCTTTTGTATTTTTTAGACTCTATTTTGTTTATTTCTGCTCTGATCCTTATTATTTCCTTTCTTCTAATCACTTTGGACTTTATTTGTTATTCTTTTTCAATCCTGTAACTGTAAAGTTAGTTTATTTGAGATTTTTCTTGTTTCTTGAGATAGTTCTATAATGCTATGAATTTTTCTCTTAGAACTGCTTTTGCTGTATACCATACACTTTGGGTTGTTGTGTTCTCATGTTCACTTGTTTCAAAATATCTTTTGATTTCTTCCTTGATCTCCTTGTTAACCTGTTCATTCTTTAATAGCATGTTATTTAGCCTCCATGTCTTTATGTGTTTTTCAGTGTTTCTTGTGATTGATTTCGAGTTTTATACCGTTATGGTCAAGAAGATGCTTGTTATGATTTTAATCTTCTTAAATTTATCGCAAGTTGTTTCATGTCCTAAAATGTAGTCAATCCCAGAAAATGTTCCATGTGCACTTGAAAAGAATATATATTCTCCTACATTGGGGTGAAATGCTCTGAAGCTATCAATTAAACCCATCTGACCTAGTGTGTCATATAAGGCCATCAGTTCCTTGTTAATTTTATTTTTGAAAAATCTGTCTATTGATGTCAATGGTGTGTTAAAATTCCCTACTATGACTGTATTGCTGTCGCTCTCTCCCTTTATGTCCATCAAGATTTGCTTTATATATTTAGGAGTACTCCTAACATATGTACTCCTATGCTGGGTGCAAAAATGTTTACAGGGGTTAAATCCTTTTTAGATTGTTCTTTTCATCATTATGTGGTGTCCTTCTTTGTCTCTTTTTTTTTACTTTCCATTTGAATAAAAGTCAAATGTAAAGGTCTTTTTCTATCTCTTTACTTTTAGTTTGTGTGTATCTTTCATTCTGAGGTAGGTCTTTTGTAGACAGCATATAACCTGTCCAGAAAAAGTCCAGCCACTGTTACTATAACAAGAATGATTTGTACGACATCGATGTAACCTGGTAGCCAAGTAGAGTGAACTGGAATGTGCATGAGTGAACAGTGACAACTTCACTGTACTAGTCAGTGGGGGCAATAGAGGCTGTTGAGTGAGCATGTGTACTCTGTGGCCATCACATTCAAATGACTGAGTGAGTAGAACAACGAATCTGCATCAGATTTTGTGTTAAGCCTTAACATTCCTCTGTGGAACTATTCAGATGATTCAGAAGATGGTAGCTATGGGTAACTGATGATTGGCAGTTTCATTATGACAACACGTCTGCTCATGCATCACGTCTCATGCAGAGATTTTTGACAAAACATCAAATCACCAAGGCGACTCAGCCCCCCTACAGCCCAGATTTGGCACGCTGATACTTCTGGCTTTCCACAAAACTAAAATCCCTTTGACATGGGAGAGATTTCAGAACATTGATGAGATTCAGGAAAATGCGAAGGGGCAGCTGATAGGGATTGGGAGAACTGTGTGAGGTCCCAAGATGCATACTTTGAAGGGAACTGAGGCATCATTGTCCTATGCCTCAGATACAATGTTTCTTGTATCTTGTATCTTCATCAATAAATGTCTCTATATTTCATAGTACATGGCTGGATACCTTCTGGATGACCTTGTACATATGGGTCTTATTTTCTTATCCATTCTGCTACCCTACCCTTTGACTGGAGCATTTAAGCCATTTATATTTATTGTGATTATTGATAGGTATGTATTTATTTCCATTTTATTCTTTTAACTATGTTCCTCTGTTCCTATTCTTCCTCCTCTAACTCCAGCTCCTCTTCCTCCCTTTCAAAGAAGACCCTTAGCATTTTCATAATACCATTTGGTGGTAACCTTTTCTAGCTTTTTCGTCTCTGGAAAGCACTCTATTTCTCCTTGAATTTTAAATGATAGCCTTGCTGAGTAAAGTAGTCTTCATTGTAGGTCCTCGGTTTTCACAGCTTTGAATATTTTATGACAATTCTTTCTGGCCTAAAATATTTCTGTTGAGAAATTAGATGACAGTGTAATGGGAACTCCCCTGTTCTAAGCTAACTGTGTTTCTCTTGTTGCTTTTAAGATTCTCTCTTTGTCTTTACCCTTTGCCATTTTAATTATGATGTGGGCCTCTTTAGGGGTCATCTTTTTTGCAACTCTTGCACTTTCTGAACTTGTATGTCTTTTTCCTTCACCAGGTTTTAGAAGTTTTCATTAATGATGTCTCCAAATATATTTTTGATCCCTTGCTTGTTCTCTTATCCTTCTGGTTTTCTTATATGCAGATGTTGTTATGCTTCATATTATCCCAAAGGTCCTTTAAACTATCATAATTTTTGTTAATTCTTTTTTCTTTTTGCTGCTCTGATTGGGTGTTTTTTTCCCTACCTTTTCTTCCAAATCACTGATTTGATCCTCTGCATCATCCAACCTGCTAGTGTATTCTTATTTCCAATATGTATTCTTCATTTCTAGCTAGTTATTTTCAATGGTTTTATGTTCTTTTTCACTAACTACATTCTTATAACCATGTTTTTGAATTCTGTATCTGATAAATTGCTTGCCTCCATTTCTTTTAGCTCTTTTTCTGAAGATTTCTCCTGTTCTTTCATTTGGTGGATGTTTTTTGTCTCCCCATTTTGGCTGTCTCTTTGCATTTGTTTCTGTGTATTAGAGAGATCTGCTATGACTCCCAGTTTTGTCAGGTGACCTAATGTAGTAGGTGACCTGTAGGGTCCAATGGTACAGTCTTCTAGATCATTTGTGCTGGGTGCTCCAGGAATATTGTTTGTATGGGTTATGTGGGCTCTTGTGTTGTAATTGAGTCTGGTTTGCTATTGGCCCATTTGTGTGTGAGATCAATCTTCAGGCTGACTGACTGTGAAGCTCAACCCCAACCACAGCCTGCAAGCTGCTGTACGGGTGCTTAACACATGAGGCAGAATTTGCATCAGCAGGATCTGGTGCCTGAAGAGATCTCCCTTTGGATATTCAGCTTATGAAGCTAATTGGATCCTGCTCTGATGTTGTCTGAAGCTGACCACTGAGTGTTTGGGGGAGGCTCTAGTGCAGTCCAGTGTCATATGCAGCATGTGACTGGTCCTGGGCAACCTGATTGTAGTTACAAGTGATCCATATTTGTGGCTCCCTTTGCTGAGCCTGGGTGTGTGTAGCAGAGACCAAGTTGTGCACCAAAGATGGATTTTACCAGTACTGGGCCCAGGGGCAAGTCAACAAAAGTCCCAAAGCACTCCCAAATTCACCTAACCTTCCTTTATGTGCTGGCTGCCTATTAGGCTTAGTCACTAAAAGAGCCTCTGGCTGTGTTCATATGGCAAGAGGTGGGTTCACGGTGAGTCACCAAATAGGGGCATGTGGAGTTTCCCAGACTGCTACAGGTTCTAATTTGGTGCCAGTGCTGGGTCTGAGGTCACTTAGCAAATGTCCCCAGGTATACCTAGTCAAGCTGCCACCCACTGGGTGCTTGTACACCTTTGTGTTGGGTGGGGTCTCAAGGAGTCATCAATGTGAGGCTACCAAAGTTTATCAGAAACAAACAGACCAAGATTTGGCTATATGAAGGGAAGGTTCTGCTCTGGTGGGTGTACAAGGGAAAAATGACCTGTGTCCCAGAGCCACACAATTCAGTCTGTCTGAGATTCTGCCAGGAGAGTAATGATCTATGAACAGTACTTGTACAGCTTTTTGTTGCCATAAGCGTATCGAGGGAAAATCTGGGGCACCTACAGTTCCGAGGCACTATGTTGGAGGCATTACTACATTGTGATCCGCTCATCCTGCTTATTATGTTATACAAAAGATCATATGTTTGCTTTTCTAATTATTGTTTGAATTAGTGGTAATTTTTTTTTACTAACATGCATATGTTATCTATTTCCTCCTGTGGCCAGTGACAAATAGAAGAATTATTCAATTCAATGGATAGTTACTTAATAGAAGAAATAAAGGTGAATGTATTGCTTTATTTGGATGGTCATATTACTAAGTAAGAAGGAGACAATGGGTATTGTTGTAGACCTAGAAGATGCTACCACAATAAGTGTGCTCAGATTTGTGCCCACAGGGAGCTTAAAATACTCTGGAAGCATATATATATATGTATATATATGTGTGTATATAGATACACATACATACACGTGTGTGTGTATATATAACTATAATATAACCCAAATAAAAAACTATTAAATAAGAATTATATGACATGCTATTGATTAAAGGCAGGAAAGCTTAAATAAGTGGTTGTCATTTGAACAGATAGGACATACGGGAACAGAGGCCCAACAGGATGTTAAAACTGTGGGTTTAGATAAGGGTAGAAATTCCTGACTAAAAGAGGTATTAAAATATCTAATAAGACTTTTCCAACTACACCCACTTCTGTGAAGCCACCATGTCATCAGCGTGTTCTATTTGTTGGGGATCACAAAGCAGGGGAAGATGACGGAGACTAATCTGAATCCTTCACAGGTCTTTTAGCTTCTTAGAATGAACAACTCTCAATATCAGATAGTTCTACTCATCCTACTGAATAAGGCCTTTGATTTTTATTTCTGTTTCTTCCCCCTTTCAGGATGCTTTTCAGGAAATAATGATCACTTTTTGGCACTTCATCATAAGAAGAGTGGGAAGCCAGCATTCCTTTATCACCATTCACAAGACATTGAGAAGAGCCTGGATATAGCTCCACAAAAGATGTACAAACATTCCTCTTCTGAAGCTCAAATGAGTAAACACCACACAATTGTTAATTCAGCATTTCCTCGACCTGCGTATGATTCATCTCTCAATCTGTTGGCTGTGGCTGGTCAAGATCTCGAAGTGGAAAACCTTCCGATCCCAGCAGCAAATGTAATTGTGATAGTAAGTATTGCACTTGATTAATTCTGATGCTTTCATCTGTGGTTGATGTTGAAAAAAATCTAATGGTGAATAGTTATCTTTGGATTTCAGTGATTTTTTTTACCACAGCACTTTTCACTCTCTAATATTTTCTTTTTGTTACTTGATTGTTGTCTTTTGGCTGGCCTTTGAATTTGAGGAGCCCATTAAATAAAAAAAAACTTTGCCTGCCCCTGGTCAGGTAACTCAATTAGAGGGTGATCTTGATATGCCAAGGTTTCAGGTTAGATTCCCAGTCAGGGCACATACAAGAATGAACCGATGAATGCGCGAATGAGTTGAACAACAAATCAGTGTTTCTCTCTCTCTCCCTCTCCCTTTTCCTCTCTCTCTCAAAATCAATTTAAAAAAGAAAGAAACCTTGTCTATATCCTCTGTGCACAGCACACTGCTTGGTATAGAGTAGGTGCTTAATAAATATGTGAATTAAAATTTGCTTTCGGAAGTCCTTACAAGTACAGTGTATTATATCCTGCACTGAGCCTCCTTTTCTCCATGAAAAATCTCTTCTAAGCAGATATGCTTTAATATTTTTATATAAATAATTAATACTTATTAGAGATCTTCTGTTCACATGATCGAAATTGTAAGAAATGAAGAGCCCACTGAAAGGGAAGAAGTGTATTAGGCGGAGGGTGGTTTCCTGTCACTTGAGTCAATAAAATGGTTTGGGAGGAATTAGTGAATAATATTTCTAATACCACTGAACAAACATTGTTCTTATTAGTCAAGGTGGTGCAAAGGTCCCACTCCTTTATTCTTAGGGTATGTAATCCAGGCCAGAGTTCCCAGTGTGTGGAGATATCATAGTTTCAATACATGCTGAGATCAATACACTATTTAGACTATCAATCATCCCCTTCAAGTTTAAAATCACTGTAGGAGGCGCCATGTAAAACTACAAATCAATAACTAAATGGCTGTTATTGCATTTATGCCCCAAAATATAATAAAATATGTTGACTTTTAAGGCCATAATAATTCAATGAAGGCATGTTTTTGCATTTTGGAAATCTCTTTATGCATCAGATATAATGACGTTTAACAAGCTTTTTTCTCTTTATTTTTTTATCTGCTACATATAGGTGCTTTACCTGGTATTAAGAATCAAAGGTCTATTTAATAATGTTTTCAGTTAACGTACATGTAATATTTATTGTGATCCAGTCTTTATTTGAGGTATCTAGAAATAGAGGCAAATGAAATGGCTCTGCTTTTGCTCAAGAAATCTCTGGGGGGGAATGTCAGTAATTCAATAAATAACATAAATTGAGAGCACAAGATGAGCTCTTAAGAGAAAATATGTGGGTCATTTGCCTTTTGAAATACTTGAACGAATTCTCTGCATTTACATGAGTAACAGATGTTCTGAAGGTGAAAGCCATGTATTCAGTGAAGATAAATGATGTTAATGATGTCTCTGTATTTGGTTATGCCCGTGATAATGCTAGGGCTCATGGGAGATATTTCCTGTAGTGACATCGTATACCCATAGTCATCAACTCTTAAAGTCACTGTGAATTACAGTTCAAGAGGTTTGTCCTATCTTACAATGTCATGTACTGTTTAGTTCATTTAATATTATGGAGGATAAAAGGCATCAATAAGGAATTCTGGCATGTCATTTCACTTTTAGCTTATTTGTGGTTTGCAGAGTCATGAAAAAGGTGTGCTTTTTCTTTGGGGTGATGATTACAAAGAGGTGATAGGTTATTTCACTGCATTAGCCTTCCTTAACCTCTTTTGATCTAGGATCTAACCATTTGTGGCTTTGATAGTTTGCAACAACTGCTAATGTTTCCTGTAATCTACTTACAGTACTGATGCACATGGTGATTTAGTGGGAAGACCTAGGAAGTGGGATTATTTTGAAATAAATCAATAATGTTCAGTTTACAAAAAAAACAGAGGGTCAACATTCAGTCAAGTATCAGCTGGTTTGAAGGTTCATCTATCCAGAAAAGACATTTAGTAATGGAGTACAGATGATGAATGGGAGAGGTTCTGGTGACTAAATGACTTTGATGGAGTAATTAATGTGTGCTTATGTGACTAGGGTGTGTGTGTATATATATATATATATATATATATATATATATATATATATATCAGAATATTTTGCTTGAGGAATATTGCAATGGTACCAAAAATTATTTTTTAGATTACTTTCTATAAAAATGAACAATGTTAATAATAGTATAATTTCCTAAATTAGGAAAATTATTGGGATTTTTCCCAGCTAGAATAAAAAAACATTTCCAACCTCCAAAATATATATGTAATTTCTAAACCTTCCTATCTCAGAGGCAGATAGAACATTTTTCCTTTTATATTTCTCTCTCTCTGTCTCACTCCTGACATCATTAAGACAGTGAGTTTTAGAATGAGATATTTAACTAGAACATGAAAGATGCATATGTCCCCTTTCCTTTCCTGAATTCTAATTATATCCAAAAAGCATTTAATAAGAGCATTTGTGTACAAATGAATTTTTTCCTTTTATTCTTTTATAATCAAGAAAAATCTGTAGTTTATTTACTCCAAGGAGAGGCCAGCATAGTTAAAATGTTTATCCCAAAGAATGATAATTGTGCTCCAGAAGCTTAATTAAGAAGCTATTAATAAGATTTTTGTACAAATTCAGTGTAGAAGGAAGGTGAATGTCTTCAAGGTCACTGCTGTGATAGAAGCCAAAACAACAACAATGGCTTTCACCAAATGTGTGCTGGAAACTTCATAGCTCCTATAACTGGACCCCCAAGATACTCATTATGGCACACACAGCCACAACATCAGGAAGGAGGGACCCCCGGATAGTCAGAGAAAATGGTACAATGGATGCAGTTGCAGGTCTTTCCAGTTCAGCAAGATCAGCAGAAATTGTTAAATGAAAAATATTTCAATCTGGGAAAAATATGAGGAAACTGGGGATTAGGAAGGCATTGAAATATGAATGGTGGAATATAAATGGTTTACTCCAGAGGATGGGACTGAGGAAAGGAAAATAAAATAAAGAGAAGGAAGAGGAGGAGAAGGAATATGAAAAAGAGGAGGAGAAGGAAGGAAAGAAAAGGGGATGGAGAAAGGAGAGAGGGAAGGAAGTGGAGAGGGAGCAGGGAGGGAAGAGACATGGTATAGTGTCAGTTCTTAGGGCAATGGAAAGACTTCTGTGAGTACATAAGAGTATGAGGGAGAGTTTTTAGGAGGCCGAAGTGGTCTTTGTGAGACTCCTAGAGTTCAAAAGCTTTTTGTCTTGCTCATCATTTGCCCAGATCACCACATGGACGGACATTTTCTTGTTTTTTAACACAGATTTTTTTTGCAAATATTTTTATCAGATAGTTGATTTAGATAACTATTAAAACCAAATACTTTGAATAACTCTGATTTTCAGTTACATCCTGAACTCTGGTTGTCGCACCTTGAACCGCGGCTTGGTTCTGCTGTTGACCAATTTTTTAGTTTCATCTTATAGGGAAACAGATAATTCCTAGCTGTGATTTGAAGGGCTTTGAAAGTCCAGTCTTCTCATTGCCTTGCCACAGTAAATAAATTTTGTATCATTTAGTGCATTATATCATGTATATAAATAATTATTGGACATTTTTTCAATAGAGAAATTATTTTAATTATAATTTTGTATTTGTGTGGTGAATGTTTCAAAGGGCGGGTTTAATCTATGTAGGATCCACCAGAATTCTGCTATGACAGGAAAGATTTATTGGTTAGAAATATTTTTTTACAAGTGACAAGAAATCTAATCCAAACTAGAGAAAATTTTGTGGTTCAAGTAACAACATTTCTGTACTGTATCTAGCCATAGGTATGATTGGATCAAGGGCTCAAATAATCAATAAGGATCGATCTCCGAATTCTGCTTCCCCTGGGGCAACTTCATTCTCAGACTGGTTCTGTCCTCTTCATCTCAACTTGGTTTCCTGAAACTCCTGGAGTTTCATCTCTGCGGGCTCATATTCAGTGGGAAAAACTGACTCTTTCACAAGTCTCAGTAATATACTGGGCATTCCTATGACCGGACCAATCTGAGTGAAGTACTTGCTTCATCCTTGAATAATTTGTGGCCAAGTGATAAATTTGGGCTAATTATCTAAAACCTAAGCAGCATGCCTCACCCCTAGAGCATCCCTGAACACCCATAAGCTGTATACAACAGGAGAGGTCACCTGAATAAAAATTGTGACATTGTTAACAAGCAAAGGAAGAACGGAGGCCAGATAGCAGCTAAAGGTAACCTAGAGCAGAGTATTTAGGGTTTTTGTTTGTTTGTTTTTTCATGAAATTTTTTGTGCCTCTCTACCCTGGTCCAGTCTGCTTTGTGACCCTTTCTTCCCTGTAGAATTAATGTGCTGCTGGAGTCAGTTGGAGAGAGATGCCACCAAGCCTCCGTCATTGGGAGAACATGGGGAAGGGCATGTTCCATAAAGCAGACTGTTAATACTTCAGTTTTTCGGACACAGTAGCCCCTTCAAAAAATGAGATCTTACAACTTAGCTTCAGGAGTTTGATTCTTGTACAAAATGAGTGACAAAACTCATACTCTGAGTTCTCCAGTGGTGGCAAATTCATTCTGATGTAAGGTGCTTGTGCTATGTCCTGATATCTAAACTATTTGCCAATGAGAAGGACCCTGACTTAGTGCAATCTGTTGGATGCAGGATATTATGTTGCTAGAATGTTGGAAATTTGCAAAAAGCACTGTAGCCTGTATACTTCTTTATGATAACTGCATATGGGATGGGGAGTGAGAGGGATGGGTTGAGCTATAAGAGAAACAGGTGCATAACTCACAGAAAGTGTGATTCAAATGCAGGCTTTTTGGAAATTATGAATTATTATGTGTCACGGGTATTCAGGGTCATAGTAAATACCAAGTTAAAAATGCTAGATGGATGTAAGATACAGTGTAATGTAATGTAGGGTGTGACCCAGATGTTGTCCCA